CTATGAGTTTTAATTTTCAAGTCATAGGTTTCACCTTCCTTTATTCCTCACCCCCTTCAACCTATGACTTGCATTTTTGCGGTGACATAACATCTACTATCCTGGACTTGGGATTTGGGGAGGGTCTATTAGTTAAGAACTTCAGAAAGGCCTTGAGTGAAATATTACGCATTTGGTGGTTGAAAATGGTGGAAATGTTAAGCTTATGGTTTCTGGAGTGACTGCTATGGATGTCTGTCAATTACAATTTTCTGATGAGACTATAATTTCAGAATGGTTGGCATGGTTTTACTCATATGTATCTTTCTGGTGTTAGTACGACCGTCATTACTGAGATATTTATTTAGCATAAACGTTTTATTGCTGCTAACTCTTGTCTTCAGTGATCTTCATGTCTTGGTTATGTAGAATATATTTTACTCTGGTTTCTTTTCAGAGGGCAAGTCCTTTTGTATTTTTGGTTGACAGACTATTGACATTTTTTTTCTCTCTCCATCAGGGTGGCTTCAAATAGTTCAAGTTGGATGGAGAGAATCCTTAGTTTAGAGGTGTTGCCAGACGATATATTACATCATCTAAGAAGTGTTCACGATGTTCTTAATAAAAGGCAAAGCAGCTCAAGTAGCTTCACTTTGGAGGTCCTTGTGGGAGGTTCTGATAACCTAACTCAGACGTCTGACATGATGAAGTTTCTTCGCAATGTTATATTACTTTGTTTAACAGCTTTCCCACGTAATTTCATATTGGAAGAAGCTGCTTTAATTGCTGAAGAGTTATTTGTTACAAAAATGAATTCTTGTAGCTCCTCAGTTACTCCCTGCCGTTCCTTAGCAAAGAATCTCTTGAAAAGTGATCGTCAGGTGATCTATTTTCTATTCACTATCAATATGCATGCTTTTTTGAGGATTGAATGTCTAGGTCTACCACGTATGTTTTGATGTCAATGAGGGACTTTATAGTTAACCGGGGAAAAAAAAAATAGAAGTGATAGTTCTGACAGAAGGTTGTTGGGTTCTAAGCGGAGCAAAAGCTTTCAAACTTTTGTGGAGTAAGATATTGCTATCAGTATTTTTATTTATTAAGAAGTTTTAAGCAAAATGGAATAGAAATCAACTGCATGAAACAACTCCATTGGGGCTGCATCTTCAACATTTCAAACTTACGAGTTAGGTAGTTACCTCCTTTCCAATTGAGGCTATTCTCCCCGTATTGACCTTAAATTATCTTAATTTAAAGTCTGAACTAGATTATAATCTAGTGACAATATCGTTATATCATTTAGTAGTGATGCATTTTTTTTTTGTTGTGCATTGATGCTTCGTTCCTGATCATACGAGGGTGGTGCCTAAAGTGCTTTTGTGGCTAATTGCCTTTTTTTTTTTTATTTTTTTTTATTTTATTGTAATTCAAAATGCCTTTGTTCATGAAGCATAGAAATAATTGCACCTTCGGTATTCTAGAAAAATGGATACACGTTCTTTATGTAATGGGGGTCTATATCCTCATTTCATACTATTAGCACTGTATAATTCTATAACTGAAATAATCATGTCTGATATAATTGGTATTATCATGTGATAATTATAGGACATGTTACTTTGTGGAGTCTATGCACGAAGAGAGGCAACACATGGAAATATCGATCATGCTAGAAAAGTATTTGACATGGCATTGGCATCTGTGGAAAGCCTTCCCGTGGTATGTTACCGTATCCCTAAATGTAACTCTTGTCTGTGCCGAAGTATGATGCTAGTCCTTAAAAAAGAAAAAAACAACTTCGATTACACCATTTTTGGGTTAATTTTTCTACCAAGGAAAAGGGAACTGTCCAAACGATGGAATGTCCTGGCACTTTGACTTCTCTTGCTAGCTTTTCTTGAAGGGCCTTGTTCTAATAGGAGACTGGGTCTTGATTCCTTTGATATCTTGACTTGCAGCTCCATGTTGAAACTCCCTCGTTTATATTTGACCTATTTGTCTACCGATGGCATGTGTGTTGGGTGTATAATATGTACGATATGTTTCTTGAAACGAACTTCTTTTTCTAGTCAAATTTGGCATTTTGGATGTTAAACTATAATAGTTGTAACTGAGTTTTGAGGTGCATGCTCTATGAGTGGATGGTATTTAATTTCAACTGCTGTGATTGCTGAAGCAGGATCAGAAGTCCAATGCTCCTCTCTTGTATTTCTGGTATGCTGAATTGGAGCTTGCGAAGGATCCTCACAATGGTCATGATTCTGTAAATCGTGCTGTTCACATTTTATCTTGCCTAGGAAATGGTGATTCTTACAGTCCATTTAAATGTCAACCATCAAGTTTGCAACTGCTGAGAGCGCACCAAGGTTTTAAAGAAAAAATCAGGGCAGTACGATCTATGTGGCTCCATGGAGTTATAGATGACTCGTCTGTGGCTCTCATATCCTCTGCAGCTTTGTTTGAGGAGTTGACCACTGGATACAATGCCGGTCTTGAGGTTTTAGATCAGGCTTTCAACATGGTACTTCCAGGTTATTTACCAATTCTGTTCTCTCTCTCTCTCTCTCTCTCTCTCTCTCTCTCTCTTGTATTTATTTCTTATTGATACTGAATTTGAACCCTTTTTCTGTGAAAATATGTTCCTCCTTCCTCCCCGGGTATATTCTATAGAAAAAGATTACTTATTTAGCACTGGCAAAAGATTTGGATACCCTATAGAAATTTCTTGTATTTTATTGTAGGGGAAACCTCCACTTGTGTAAGTATGGCCCTAGACATAAAGAGCTAGCGTTAGGCAAGTAATATGAGCTTATTGCCTCCCAGCATCAGATCATTGTATATGGGAGTGATAGCTTTCGGAACTAGAAGTGGTAAATTGTCGATAGTAGCGGGAAGGCGAATCAACTATTGAATTTTTTCTGGCTCTGTTCTGAAGAAAGTTTAGAGGACTATATTTTCTCACATTCTTTGATTTGCAACCCCTTCATGCAGCTATAATCTTTTAACGACACAGATTTGTCCTATTTCCGAGAAGGAAGATTGGTTTCCCATTCGTTCTTCAACTTATATATATATAAGCTAGGACAGAATTTTTCCGCTTGAATTTTATTTGTTTTGTTGATTATTCGTTACTTACTATTGTTATTGATGTGCAGAAAGAAGAAAACAGAGCTATCAACTAGAATGTTTGTTCAACTACTATGTGAAGATGCTTCTGAGACATCATAAGCAATTAAGCCAACTAAAAGTCCGGGAGTCAATTTCTCAGGGATTGCAGTTCTATCCATTAAATCCTGAACTTTATACTGCTTTTCTGGAGATTAGCTACATTTATTCGGTACCCAGTAAACTGCGATGGACATTTGATGACTACTGCCAGAAGTAAGATGATCTTTCTTGTGCTATCTCTCACATTGCTAATCACATTTTGGTGTTTAATTTCCCCTACATGGCCAGGCTGTGATATAAATTCACAGTCGAGTTTTAATCGGATCCATATTTGGCATCGATTAACTATAGTAATAGCCTTCCTTGCATGTTTATGACCATGATAGATGCACTCATTTCAGATGATATCGCTTTCGTTACTTGATCTATTTGATGGTGCATGTTTATGACCATGATAGATGCACTCATTTCAGATGATATCGCTTTCGTTACTTGATCTATTTGACGGTGGTTTTATGGACTAAAATCTTTTCTGAATCCGACGCTTTATCTTTTGATATAGTATATTGTTGTTGATCTTTTTTTCTTTACATTTGGGGTCCCTAGGCTTGATAAATTTGCATGTAATACTCTCAGGCAACCTTCTCTGATCCTTTGGATTTTTGCATTATCCTTTGAGATGGGTCATGCGGGTTCTCCTCATAGAATACGTAGGCTGTTTGAAAAGGCATTGGAAAATGACAATTTGCGTCATTCTGTTATTCTCTGGCGCTGCTACATTTCATATGAGCTGAACACAGCATGCGATGCTTCTTCAGCCAAGCGAGTTTTCTTCCGAGCCATCCATTCCTGCCCATGGTACGACCCGATTTCTTGTTATTTACACCAATTAAAGTATCATTCTGGCTCCAGTTCCTTTTGTTTTTTTAGGTCCTTCAGATAAACAGCAACCACTCTAACCATTTTATGTTCTGAAGGTCAAAAAAGCTGTGGCTTGACGGTTTCATCAAACTGAACTCTATTTTGAGTGCGAAAGAGCTTTCGGATCTCCAAGAAGTTATGCGCGACAAAGAGCTCAATCTACGGACTGATATCTATGAGATTCTCTTGCAAGAAGAACTCATATCTTGAACTGTCTTCGACGACAGATTCTCTTGTAAGAAGATAAAGTGTCGTCACCATGTTCTCCTCTCGCTCCTCCTAAAGTGATGGAACTTAGAAAGGTCTAAAGACGTTATACCAGAAGTAGCTTCACGTTTCCCGCCCGATATAGGTAACGTTGGTCAAAGGGCGTGATCGTTGTAAGTTGTACATTGGGCGAAAGGATTTAGAATATAGGTTGGGTTCAATTTGAGCTGTTACTTGTATGTTGTGTTCCAAGTTAATTTCAGGTGAGTTGAAATATTTGAGTCGGTTTGTAATTAAAAAAAAAAAAAAAAAAAAAAAAAAAAAAAGAAACAGCAATCTACTAATTAAAAAGAAATTTCAAGCCATTTATTTCCTAAGTAAAATTATTAGTTCAAAATTATTAATTTTCTTAAAAATAGAAGTTGCACTCAGATAAGAAATAAAATTCTGATATAATGTCACACCGAAATATTTTAATTTTATTATTCATATAACACTAAAATAAGATTATAAATAATTTTTATTTTATATTAAGAATTAGATTTATGTTTATCTGGATTGTAGTATCTTTTGATAGACGACAACTCGTGTTTTGTATTTTTATTTATTTATTTTTTGTTAACCAATAGTGAAATTATTGATATATATATATATATTTATGGATTTTCCACTATATGAAGTGAGGCTAAATCACAACCGTTGGATCAGCCTTTTAAATAACATCGTCTTCGTCGCGCCCTAGTATATTAAGCATTAGCGCCGTCCCAGAGTGAAGCTATCTTCCTCTGCTTCAACGAAGCTCTCGACTTAAAAATCTCAAATAATCTTCAAGGTAACTCTTCCTTCCAATTTAGCTTCATTTCTCTTCGCTTTCTCGGTTCTCCGTGGTTCTTACTATTTTTGTATAGCTCGGCTTTCTCTTTCACGATGATTTTCTTTTGCTGAGGGCTCTACTGTGGCGTAGTTTCATGTTCTAGCTTTGGAGCCGGATTTTTTTTTTTACTTCTTTTGAGGTGTTCATCGATTTGATTTTTTTTTTTTTTTTTTTTTAATGTTAAACATGCTATGTTTTCGGCTTTTTTGATAGCTTCACAGATCGTGATTAAATCTCTACCATCTGTAATTGCGCTCTTTGATTGTACGCTCAGAAGTTAACGAAAGAACAGCCTAGGTTAGACGATTTAGTCGAGTCGTAGTTACTGTACTGAGCAGGAGCTTACTTTCACGAATATTTTACTTTTTCTGAAAACTTTGGCGGCTTCTCTTAGAGAATCTCACTCTTGTATTCTCTTCGACGATCATGATAAGATGATGAATGGATATTTGTTGCTTTTGAAACAACTTTTTGAGGATATTTGTTGCTGTTGAAATAACTTTTTGGATAAGCTAAGCCTCGATAATGTTTTGTAGTGTTGCCTTTCTTTCAGAGATTGTAATTGTTAAATGATGTTTCGGATATGGTTTTCTATTTGAAAAAATGTGGACAAGATCCGTGTATGCGTTTATCTGCTTTAACTCTCTTTTCTTCGTGGACGCATCTATTCTTCTTAATTGCTCTAATAATACAAGTCCGAATCCTTAATCACTTACCAAGACTTCATTTCTCATAACATTTATCCTTCTCGTTTCCTATTAAAAACGAAAAACTCATAAATCTTATCCTTCTCGTTTCCTATTAAAAACAAAAAACTCATAAATCTTATCCTTCTCGTTTCATATTAAAAACAAAACATTCATAAATCTCATCTTTGTTCTTATGTTGTGCAGATGGATCATGCGAAGCTCCAGAAGATGGCTGGTGCAGTGCGCACTGGTGGAAAAGGTAGCGTGAGAAGGTTGGTTGCCTTTTTATCTATTGAAAGTTCAATGTGTGTAAGAAGAGTCAGTTGTTTATTGCTTGATCTATTTAATAAGAAACCATAAATTAATTCAACCGGAAAATGAAACTCTTACAAATCTTACCTAGTTGTTCTTGATTATAGATTATTTTTTGGTAGATAATTTAATTGAACCATAATATCATCCAAATAAGGTGGTTTGGTCTGAGAGGTTAAGTTAACGCAATATCTAGAACTCTGTTCCCACGTCCACTTCTGCTTTCCTCAGTTATTTTATCCATCGTGCTATTAATTTTGATTGGCTTCTTTCTTATAATCAGAGGCGTTTTCTCTAGCTAGCAGTTAATTTTGAATTTCTGATTTGCAGTTCATGGTTTACGATTGATTGACGAAACACGCGAAACACGCCCGCGCGCACACATATTATTATAATATTCAGTTGACTAATGGATGAATAAACAAACATAAATTCCATGCTTGTTTGAGTATTGCATCTTTCAGTTACGCAAGTTGTCATCTCTCGACATTTTCTCATGCTTCCTTAACAAAATGACGCTGATAATTTTCTTTATGTATTTTGTCAATTAAAGGAAGAAGAAGGCTGTTCACAAGACAACTACCACAGATGATAAACGGCTTCAAAGTACCTTGAAAAGAATAGGAGTTAATGCTATTCCTGCAATTGAGGAAGTTAATATCTTCAAGGATGATATAGTTATTCAGTTTGTTAATCCGAAAGGTAAAGCCACTTAACTATCCTTGACGTCTTACCATCGATATCTTGATATGTAACTCATATTTTGCTGTTTCTCGTTCTCTATTTCAGTTCAGGCTTCTATTGCCGCAAACACATGGGTTGTTAGTGGTTCTCCTCAAACGAAAAGTACGTCTCTCACCACCTCTTGAATATAATGAAACATACAACTGACCTTGTGTTCTAATTTGTAGTTATCTAAAACTGAAATAACTTTTTTCATTCAAATTTGGTCGTATAATTTTTAAAACAGAAGAATAGTCCTAAAAATGAAAACGACATAGTAGAGTTGTCTGCAGACTATGCTGTTTTTATGGTAACTTTTAGTTTCCAATTGAGGGATCAATAGTGTCTGGTTTTTATTTCAATTACTACGTTGTGTTCAAACCGTTTTTAAATCAGTGATGAATATATTTTTTTTTTTTTATTGAAGTATTCTTAAGGTGCCGTTTGGAAATGCTATAAAAAACCGCTCAATTTTTTATTACAAAATTTTATTCTTTAATGAGGAAAACCAATCTGTCCAGTGAAATATTTAAAACTGTTTTGAAAATGAGTTATTCTTACTTCTTGGAGTACCTGTTAATTGTGTACGAGCCTTCAAGTATTTTTAGGAATTAAATATGATGTGGATTACAAAAAAAGTGGCATTAAGTGAACACTGCAACTTACGTCTAACCGTTTGAAAGTAGTTTTTTCCGGCATAGTTTCATCCAACAATTTAATAGCTCTTCTATTTGTGCCAAGTAAGCTTTAAAAATTTTCAGATAGTTCTCCGTAGAAAAATTCCAACTACTCTCCGTTTTGTTTTTTGTTTTTTTTTTTCAAAAAAAAAAGGTGCTGTTGACCTAATTTGGCAAAATTTTACCAAGGGTTCTCAGGGATTAGGATTACGTTTTCAAAGATTTAATGCAAACCAACATGCTGCCCTTGGCTTGGAATTTGAAATACGTCCAAATTCGAATGCTTCCTGTCATTGTGTCCAGCATAGGAATATCTCTGAGACTAGATCGACTTTTTTAGTGCTAAAAAGTGTTTTTAAACGCTTAAAAGAGTCCAAATCGAAACAAGTTGGGGTTTCAAAATATGTTGTTAAATAAAGATTTTGGCTAAAAGCTATCGTTTTAAATCGGGGGCAAATAGTTCCGTTTGATACTGAAAAGTCTTGGATAATAGTTCACCTTTGCTAAATTATGCCATTATTTTTTATATTTATACTTGGATTGGAATATTGACACAATTGTGACTTCTGATCTGATGACTCTTATTTTAAATTATGCCATTACTTTTTATATTTACTTCAATGAGACCTTGTTTATTTCTGGAATAGATGTGTTCTTACTGTAAGCAAGATGTTACTCGAGGTCCCTGCATCTTGCTTATGCAAGATGATACTTGCGGCGTCTTGAGATAAAAAAATTCTGTAGCATCTTGCTTATGCAAGATGTTACTCGAGGTCCCTCGGTTACACTGGCACCTTTTGTTTATTTCTGATTGTGAAGCCTTTCTATTAACACTGCCCAGGATGCTCGTTGTGATCTTTAGCCATCTCTTGTTAATATCTATCACGGTTGAAACACATCATGTATTACTAATGATGCCTGTCTAATATTTTGATTTCTCAGAATTGCAGGATATTCTCCCTGGAATTATTAACCAATTGGGTAAGTACTACGCTAGGATTTTGGTGTTTCCTGCGGAGTTGCAATTTTAACTACGGCGCTAAGAATACTTGTTTGCATGTAAATATTTCCAGGGCCCGATAATTTGGACAATCTGAGGAAGTTGGCGGAGCAGTTCCAGAAGCAAGCACCTGGAGAAGCCGCAGCAGCAGCCAATGCAGAGGATGATGACGACGACGTACCCGACCTTGTCGAAGGACAAACCTTCGAAGCTGCTGCTGAAGAGAGTAAAGCCTCATAGATAGGAGCTCGCTCTCAGATGATTTTAATTAGCCTTTTTCTTTTTACATATTTTTAATGTTGGGAAGAGTTCATTTTTCTCCTTGTATTTCTTTTTGTTAATCTTTGTTGCCCATGGCATTTCTACTCACCCCTGCCCCCATGTAACCCCTAGATGCATGAATTTTTGGTTGCTGCCCCTTTCAACCTCCTTAATTCATGTGGAGAATGCTTTTCTTATTTAGGTGCGGAATTAATGGCTACCCCCCAGCCTCCTTACCTAAAGAAAAAAATTTGGGGATTTAAACTTGAGCCAACTTTGTATTCGAATATGGTAAGGTGTATGCTTATTAAATAGTCCTTTACCCTCTTTTTTCTCTTGTACTGTTGACTTGTTAAGTTTTAGGAATACTAGCTGTTTTATTTAGATTTTGATGAATTCCAATGGCCAAGAAATTAAAAAGTGTACTGAAACATGAATGTCATTCGTGGTGATGTTGAGTATGTGATTTTGTTATTTTTTCCTAGTTGTTCTTCGCTAAAAAACAAGCTACAAACCCCCTATCCACGATGGCGAGTAAATAACGCCAGGTGATTTTACCCGTTACTCCCGAAATAATTATGGGAGAGGAGAGAAAATAGGTATAACCTCGGGGGATCGAATGTGGGCCCACATCTTCCCTAAGTTCTATGTCAAAAACTAAGAAAAGAGATAACGACACTAATGAAAATCTCATTTTGTTTGGTCATATGTCTAAAAATAATCTCAAAAGTTCTAAAGATATCTAAAAGCATTTAAAGAGATATTTGAGAATGCATTTAATCATGATAACAAAACCGGAAAATTCAAAGACATTCTACAAACTCAAGATTATCTGAACTGGAATGTCTCCGTAGAGCAAAAATAATGTTATTCTCTAAATAACCCAAATGGAACAAGGATCATGAATATGTGATGATTCTTAATCAAAGAAATCTAAATAAAACGCAAAAATAAATTTATTTCTTTCGAATCTTAAAATACGAAGACTGGTGTTTTATAGAAGAAACAAACCTTGCTGACAAGATATGCTTCTTCCAAATTTAACCATCACAAATGGATAATTTATCAAGAAGCTAGGTGTGTAAAATTCACCTGTCCTGCATCCATGAATTTTATTTAAGAGTTAGAATTAAGACTTCGTTAGATGACTATTCAATTTTTTAAAATTAAAGTTATAAGCACTAGTTTTGTATCATGTTTTATTAGTGTTTTAAAAAACCAAATCAAGTTTTGGAAACTAAAAAGAAATAGTATTGAAAAATTTATTTTTGTTTTTAAAATTTGATTAAGGATTCAAGTGTTTTCCAAAAACATGTGAAAATTACCGTATAGGAATCGATAGAAAAATAAGCATAAATTTAAAAACAGAAAACTAAAAACGAAACATCAAGGTTATTTTTAAGCAAACAAGAACTTGAAAAACTTCTAGTGTGGGTACTTACAATCGAAAGTTGCCCAACGATCTGGAACTACGCTAGGGAAGTCCTGTTTTGCATCTTGGAGATATATGAAGAGATCTGGGGATCCATTTGTATTTTTTGTGGATGTATCAATTCCTTTCACAGATGAAGGCCCTCTTGGAGGAGCTAAAATAATCATATGGTTCTTCATATCTAAAGAATTCTGCATGAGAAATATGCACCACCATGATTAAGCCCTTGAAACTATAGCCTTCTTATTTCTCAAGATAAGGCAAGCATGGTATTTCAGTCGAATTATAATTTTTCAAAAATAGCTAATTTAACAAGATCTGGCAGAATACCGCAGAAACATAATTCTCCACTCACTTCATTTATTCGCTTCGAACTTTCAGGTCTTCTTGGTAAGGTATGCATACCAGTGAAACAAATATGGGCACTTAATGAGAAAAAGAAAAACTTCCCTCCTTGACAAATAACCATAATGCTTTGGGTCAAGGGGTAGAATCAGGGAGAAAAATTTACAGAATCGACAGTTCTCCAATCAAGACAGCCACAGAAAGACTGGCTTAGAGGGATGTTGCATGCATAAAAAATGAGATACGTTTACTGAATTCCTAATCCCCAACCATGCATTCGAAGAAAGAAAAGTAAAGTTCAAACTCCGTTTGTTTGCCCGTTCATTTTCCAAGTGAACAGGATTTCTAATAAAATAATGCGAAAATGAAAGACGCTACAACTTATCTTGTCAAACTTGGAAGAATATTTATTCAATAACTTAATAAACTAGGGTGCCTGAAAAAATGTCGGAACATCATATATTCTGACGTACTGTGTGATCTTTTAAAGGTGTCACAATCAGATGTTAAGACTTGTTTCACGGTTACTATTTGTTTAAATTCTTAAAAAATAGACCATTGACTACTTTTATTCTACTATTTTGTAATTCCCTCCTCAATTCATGGAGATATATGTACATGATCGTAATTTAATGGAAAATTGAATTTCTCTAAAGAGTCAAACCCATCAATTTTATACCAGGCAGAAAAATCCCACTTAAAGGAAAACAAGAATATAGTGGATTATGCAACAGGATTATAGATGAACTTACCCCGCGTGATTTTGCTACTGGAGGAGTTGTTTTCGTCACGTGCATTGTGAGAATCTCTTCATCAAGAGAGAAGTTCCTCTTCTTCTTTGAAATAGAGCTTTTGGGTTCAGTTTCAATCGAATCACAATAAATATTTCTCATTCCACCTAATTGTGGAGTTGGGTGTGTCTTGTTCTTTGAAACCCACCTTTTCTCTTCGTACCTGAAAGTTCCTCAACAAAGTTAGATAAAATAGAAAAGAACAAGAGATTGAAAAAAACATATCCAATTTCTTCAAATCGTGTTCTAAATTTAAGCAGAGCATTTACTTGGCACGAATGAACATTTGATTCCCTCTGTTATCAACATTTGGTGGTAGTTCTGCTTCCCAGTAACAATTCGATCTCTCATTTCCCATAGCTACAACAAATATAATGACAATCAGCCTCAAGTAGTTGATTAAAAGGACATTAATTTGCTGGCAATAAAATCTCTGAACGGGCATTTTCCTTTGGGGATTAAGTATCAACCCAATTGGGTAGTAAATTTGATTGAAAGTAGTCTGTTGTGAAGTTCCTAACTTAATTTTTCTTACTGAAACGAAAATTTTAACAAATGCCAAATGTTCTTACACTGCATAAATGCAACCTGTTCCGGTAGCCACGTATCAAGAGTAGTAGACCGTACCTATCACAAAAATGAAAATTTCCAAGTGTAAGGATGGTTGAAACCACCGAATGAAGAAGAAAAAAAATGAAGAAGAAAAAAAAAAAAAAAAAAAAGAGAGAGAGATCCAACATAACGAGGTTTTAGAAAATATTGAATGTTGAACATTAGTTAACTCAAAATTCAATTAAACAACATTTAACAGCAAATGCAAGCACATAAGCATGAGGTAATGCAAAAGGCTAACTGTATACATAATTCCTTTGGTCCACAACTTTGTTTTGTGTCCAATATTGTTGAACATTACCACTATTTCAACCTAAGGATTACAGAACAAGATAAACAAATACTTGACAGATCTATTCAGTTTATTGGCAGATGACTTGGACCTTCCAAAGTAGTTTGCAGGTAATAACAATGATTATCTTGGATCATTGGAACTAGAAAACAAATTTACATTAAAACCTAGCGGATTAGCAACATGTGTATCAGACAAGTTTCTTGAAGCTTCAGTTGCAAAAGAGGAAACGCTAAATTTGTCTAAACATATGGGTAAGCGTATTAATTAATTTTTTATTTCGTCGTTGATATGGACAGATACCAAGGGTAAACACAAGTTCAAATAATATGAAACTCATGAGCCAATTTGTCCTCAGTTCCATTAAGTCTCTCACCATATTTGTAATCTCCAATGAAACTAAGGTGCAAGGAGATTTCCTCTAAACAACCACCAAAAAATCTTAAATAGGGTGGTTACAAGTCTTGCTTCCAAAAATACTGGGACACTTCGATGATAGAAATTAATACATGCAAGCTGGCAAGTTTCAGGCTCTATGAATTCCTTTTACGTTGTTTAAATGTAAGATCATTTTGAAGTTCACGCTTGTTATGAAGATCTCTTAAAACTACAAGAAATTGTTCAAGCCAAACAGGAAAGTTCAAAGTAAAGATCTACCAGTTGTCAGAAAACCACTACGCAGAAGGAACTTATATAGGAAGCAAAAAACATTTTTCTACATATGGTAGGAAAAAAAGTGAGGGAAACCTTTGAAATATGTACTCCAAGACTCCGATGAATACCCGAGCATTGCATGCATATAAAAATTCCAAGGTTCACACTTGCCCATCGTGGAGCCCTGTGCATCATATAGCAAAAAGGTACATCAAGTATACAATATTAAAGTACATGTTGAACTCATATCAATTAAGAAAAGTTATATCAAAGCACACATTCTCTTAGAAATCCATTTCCAAAACCTCGTTTTAGTGGCAATCATTTGCCAACATTGAGCATGATTAAATTACAACAATTTAACATGCTTGTTTTAATTTCACGCTAAACCTGAAACATATATACTAGTTTGCCACCGCATAAAATTTTAGGCAATGGAAAAGTTCTGTCTTAAAATGTCTTTACCCTATTGTATCTTATTCATCAGAAAGTAATATATCGTTGCATATTTTTCTCCTGCTCTATATTATTACCATGTCCAGACTTTTCACCAACCATTATTGTGCACTGCCTACGACGACTCAAATCGAAACCAGTCATCCAATGATTGCCTTAGAACTACAAACTCTGAACCAAAGTCCTAACCATCTTAATAACTTAGCAGCCTTGTTTCAGAGCAGCCTAGGGAAGAGAAACATATACAGTATAGTTATTCACCCAACTGAAACCTTATAGAGCATCAGGGTCAGATATTTCGTTGCTGGTTTAAATTTCAATTAAATATCAAATAGAGAATTACTTAACAGTCTTGAAAGTCACAAAACTAACATTCAAAAAAAGTCTAAGAGCATTGAACATTCAAAGGGATGCAGTTTGACCAAGATACTGCCAAAAAGTCGGAAGTTCACATTCAGTGGTTAAATATATATTAACATGATATGAAACTAAGGCGTTGATTACGCATAAAAACGAGACGATAGCCATTTCTTTTTTTGTGTAATCAAAGGACAACAAAAAGATTCTCTGAAGAGCTGCAGAAACAGAGAAGATATTCAGAGAGGAACGAGAATAATTAATGTAGGGCGAAAATATTGCATGCTCCAAGTAGAAATGGCTGATCAGAAGCTTACGAACAGGAACTACATCCGTAACAATTTAGAATTACAGAAAGAACGTTTCATATTTAAAAATTAATAATAATAATCGTTTAAA